TGACAGTGCAGCAATGGTGACATTTGATGAGCATACACTGCTGCCTTGGCTTTATATGTTATTGCTGTTACACATAAACATGTCTATCTGTCTAGCTCTCTGTCTGCCTGTGTGTGTCTGTCTGCTTGTCTATCTTGTCTCAGAGAGTTGCTCATGAACCAACTGGTATTACACACAATCACATCTGCTTCCTGAACAAGTATTACATGCCAGTTGCCAGTCATAATTATTATGCATGATATCTACAAGCACAGTGTAGCACTTTGTCTGGATTTTTTGGGTTATCCTAGGTAATTTACACTGCATAATTTTATTTACATGTGTGTTCCTATGTGATAGAGACAGAGACAGAGACAGCCAATCAGCCAGCCAGCCTGCTGAACATATATTACATGTTCCAGAATTGTTTCTTTTTACTTAGAGCATAGATTATAAGACATTCTGGCAGGATGACACTACCAGTGGTACCAAAATTGAAAGGTGTTGCACAAAGGATACACGTGTTATTATCGAGGTTTTTTTTATATTTCCGCAACCACTTGTGGCCACATCCACCTCAAAGCCACTAAACTTGGGGTCAACATCACTTTCCTCTTAAAAGGGGATTGTTAATATGACATGACATCAGTGAATCCTTGGTGTTTGCCGCGCTGTTTGCTCTACAGTGGGCCCTTGCCTAACAATATTAATCCGTTCCTGAGAGCTCATCGTTAGACGAAATTATCGTTAGCCGAATTAATTTTCCCCATGAGAAATAATGGAAATCCAATTAATCCATTATAGACAGCCAAAAGTATGTATTAAAAAAAAATTTTTTTTCACGAAATATACATTTCCCTACAAAGAAAACGATGAGACATGCACAATAACTATATAAATAAATGTTAAAATGAAACTTGCCTTTATTGAAGAGTATTGATGAGTGATGAGACAGTTTTTCTAGAACACTGGGATTTTCAGTGATACATGAGTAAAGGCTTCACTTTGCAATCCCCACTAGCATTACAACAAAACAAGAAAGTTAGCCTGTCTTTCATAGGCTTGTGTCCTGGGAGTGCCTTTTCCTCCTGAGTAATGTAGGTCCTGTTTGGCATTTTCTTCCAGAACAGGCCTGTTTTATCACAATTGAACACTTCTTGGGGTTGGAATTTTTCAGCTTCGCCATGCCTTATCACACTGTATATGCCACTACGATCTCTCAAACCAACCTTTGCTGGCCTTAAATTCACCAATATGAACACTAGTTCCAGGCATTTTTTCCTGTTCACCTGGGTGTTAGTCGACTGGTGTGGGTCGCATCCTGGGAGACAAGATTAAGGACCCCAGTGGAAATAAGTTAGACAGTCCTCGATGACTCACTGACTTTCTTGGGTTATCCTGGGTGGCTAACCCTCTGGGGTTAATTGTTTCTTGGTAATTGTTTCTCATTAAGCCACACCAACAACAGTCTCTCCACATCTTCGAGTAGTACAGCTGAAAGGTGGTGCCACAAGAGTGGTACGATATATTTTAATAGATTTTTCACCCTTTTTCCCAGAGTTGGGCCCAGAAGCTTTTTTTGGGCCCTCAACTTCACATCATCTGCGAATAGGGACACTTCAGAGTCTATCCCTTTCCATCATGTCATTCACATATATCAAAAATAGCACAGGTCAAGAACTGACCCCTGCGGGACCCCACTCGTCCAGGCGCCCCACTGTGATACCTCTTCTCATACCTGCTCGTTGTTGCCTCTCTGCCAGGAATGCGCTGATCCACTGCAGTGCCCGTCCCTGTTATACGCACCTGAACCTCCAGCTCTGCACTAAACTCTGTGAGGAACTGTGTCGAAGGCCTTCCTGCAGTCTAGAAAATGCAATCCACCCACCCTCTCTCTTGTGTCTTACTTCTGTTACCTGGTCTAAAACTTCCAAAGGTTTATGACGCCAGGAATTTGCCTTCCACGAATCCATCTGTTGTTCATTTATAATCTTGTTCCATTCCAGGTTGCTCCACCACTCTCCTCCTGATAATCTTCTCCATGACTTTGCATACTATACACCTCAGAGACACTGGTCTGTAGTTTAGTGCCTCATTTCTGTCTCCTTTCTTAATTAAAAATGGGGACTACATTTGCCGTCTTCCATATCTCAGGTAGTTGCCCAGTTTCAAGGGATGTATTGAAGATTGTGGTTAGGGGCACGCACAGTGTCTCTGCTCCTCTAAGGACCCACGGGGAGATGTCTGGTCCCATCACAGCTTCTGCACCTCCTCCTCCATTGTCCGTATGTCATCCACACTGTTTGGTAAATTCCCTGTGATGTCCCATCTGTGCTGTCTTCCCAGAGCCCTTCCTGTCCTCTAACTGAAAAAACTTCCTTATTCTCCTCAACTCCTCACATACTCCTGAATGTTTCTTGAGATTCCCCCACCTTTACTGTCCTCAGCCTGATCACCTGTCTTTGACTGTTGTCCTTCTCCTACGTGGCTATACAACAGTTTCGGGTCAGACTTGACTTTCGATGCTAAGTTATATTCAAACTGTCGCTGGCCTCCCTCCTAACCTGTTTGTCATACTCAATCCTGGCTCTGTGACTCATCGCCCTATTTTAATGTGTTCTATGCTTCTGTACTATTCCATTCGCTAACAGCACTTAGTTTTTGCCTTCATTACACTGTTGGTAAACCATGGCTCGTTCTGGTCTCCCATATTCTTTTTGCCCTTTGGAATAAACCCTTCCTCTGCCTCCTTGCATTTTGTTGTTAAGTAGTGCCTCAATTTGTTTACCGACTTTCCTACCAGTTTCTCTGTCCCACTGAACCTCCTGCAGGAAGTTCCTCAAACCTAAGGAATTCCCCTCTTTTATAGTCTGGCTTTTTCCCATTCAACTCCTGTTACACTCTTCCACTTGTAACTCTACTCTTATTCAAAGCACAGACCAAGTGGACACTAGCTCCTAGTTAACTCTCATAGTGATGCCCTCAGTCTGAAACTGCCCGGTGAACACACAAGTTCCAGTCTTGCTGGTTCGTCTGTTCCCTCCTCTCCACCTCTCACTCTGGATGTCCCTTAACATGTTGGTGCATGAGTTTTTTCCGAACACATCCATCATCTTGGCTCTCCTCCATGTTTTCGGACCCCTGTGTGCGCCAGCTTTTCCCAGTCAGTCTCCCGGTGGTTGAAATACGCCCACAACCAGCCACTTTGCTTTCCTCAAGTGAGTCTCTTCTTGCCACCTCATCGCAAGTGTTCCACCATTGCCTGTTGCTCTCTTCATATTCCACTCGTTGGCTTTCCTGCAGTATCTGTGGTGGAGTTATACATCACAGCATGGCTAACCTTGTGCTCCCCAGACTGAAGTGTACTTACTATGTAGTCCCATTTCTCCAATCTCGTTTTATGCCTCCCATATTCTCGAATTCCTCATTTTTTGAGCAGTGCAAAACTCTCCTTCACCCCTCTGCCCTTCTATCTTCCTCATGATCTGATATCCTGATGGGAAGATTGCACTCTGTTATTGTCACGGTTATTTCGTTTCTCTAACTGCTATGATGTCTGGGGACTTCTCATTGATTCTTTCATGCCACTCATATTTATTTGTTATTCCATCCGCATTCTCTTGTAGTCAAGTGTCTGTGTGTGTGACTGTGGAGTGTTGTGGTGTGTGTGTGTGTGTGTGTTGTGGTGTGAGTGTGTGATGTGTGTGTGATGTGTGTTGTGTGACCTGTTGTGTCTGTGTAGAGTTGTGTCTGTGTGGTGTGTGGTGCTTTGTGTGTGAGTGTGTCAGTGGTGTGTGGGTGTCTGTGTGGTGTGTCCTGTGTGTGTGGTGTCTGTGTGTGTGTGTCTGTGTGGTGTGTCTGTGTGTGTGTGTCTTGTGTGTGTCTGTGTGTGTGTCTGTTGTCTGGGTGTCTGTGTCTGGTGTGTCTGTGTCTCTTGTGTCTGTGTGTGTGTGTCCTGTGTGTGTCTGTGTGTGTGTGTGTCTGTGTTTGTGTGGCTGTTGTGTTGTGTCTTGTGTGTTTGTGTCTGTGTGGTGTGTCAGAGTGTGTTGTGTCTGTGTTTGGTCTGTGTGTGTGTCTGTGTGTGTGTCTGTGTGTGTGCTGTGTGTGTGTGTGTCTGGTGTGGATTCTGTGTGTGTCTGTGTGTGTTGTGTGTTGAGTGGACTGTGTGTGTGGTCTTTAGTGTGTGTGTCGGTGTGTGTGTTGTGTCTGTGTGTGTGGTGTGTGTGTGTGTGGTGTGTGTCTGATGAGTGTTGTGTGTGGGTGTGTGTGTCTTTGTGTGTCTGTGTGTGTGTCTGTGTGTGTCGTGTGTGGTGTCTGTGTGTGTGTGTTGTGTGTGCTGTGTGTGTGTGTGTGTGTGTGTCTGTGTGTCTGTGGTGTTGGGTCTGTGTGGTGTTGTGTGTGTGTTGTGTGTGTCTGTTGTGTGGTGGTGTGTGTGTGTGTGGGTCTTGGTGTCGGTGTGTGTGTGTGTGTGTGTCTGTGTGTGTGTTCCTGTGGTGTGTGTTGGTGTTCTGTTGTGTGTTGTTTGTGTGTGTGTGTGTGTTTCAGTTGTGTGTGTGTGTGTGTGGCTGTGTGTCTGTGTGTGTTTGTGTGTGTGTGTTGTTGTGTTGGGTACGCGCGCGTGAGCATGATGCATGTAGCCGCGTGCAAGCTCGCACACAAATGTTGCATGTGGCACACACAAATTATTTCTTAAATTTTGTTTAAGACAGGATTCATAATTTTAAATGTAAAAAATGCAGCTTAGAATAACTCTCAATTATATTTATTCCCTTTTACACACTGCCAACAACTATGGTTTTAATGACACATAGTGGTTTTTGTTGATGAACAAAACGAGTATAAGTTTATCTATTATTATAATTATTATTTTTACTAAGGAAAAGTGGAATAATAATAATAAATGATTTCTTTTTAGCCAAGGATTGCACTTAGTCAGTATAAGATAAAAATTTAATAAATTTACTTGATAAGCAATTGACGACTGATAGCACCCTTCACATCTATAAACTAATAATTTTTTTTTTTAAATTACTCATTATATATAAGCTACATGACTACGGTAAATGTGCTGATGTTAATAGTGAACAAAACAATGTGAATAAAGTTGATAAAGTTTAAAAAGTAAACATAAAACAATATGATGCCTAAGAGGTAAGACTACAGGAAATTACAGTATCAACAAGGCTAGCCACAAAACGAACCATCTCAGTCGTTTCATACAAGGCTTTGTTTCTGGAGAGTATCATACCTTGCTGTCTTAGCTCCTCAGTCCCAGTTTTCCCAGTCTTCACCCTGTAGTTTATCAGAAAAATTGAAAATGGAAACAATGTTAATGACATTAAAATATTTTTTTGTAAAAACTCTTTTCATTCATAATTTATTTACAGGAGGACCCCGCTTAACAGCATTTCGCTAATGCAGCGGTTTTCAATTACACCTATTCTTCATTTATTCAGACTTCCTACAATAAAAGTATTTACCACCCACTATAGCCCAAGAACAAAAATATTTTATGGCAAGTAATGTGTGCACTGATATCATTTTTTTTAGGCCTAGTTTCTATAGCACACTTAATATATGATAAGTCAACATCTATCAAGGCTTTATTATGCTTTGAAAGTAAAACAAGATATGTTTCCTTTTACAGTGATTTTCCTTAACAGCAGTTCCCAAACCTATCCTGATTATAAGCAGGGCCCTCCTAGTTACAGTGAAACATATAAAGTGAACGTATTTTAGATAAGGCTAAAGAGGTCTTTGTGGCATTTATGGATTTGGAAAAGGCATATGACAGGGTGATAGGGGGGCAATGTGTAAGATGTTTGCAAGTGTATGGTGTAGGAGGTAGTTACTGAAAGCATGAAGAGTTTTTAACGAGGATAGTGGAGGCTCGAAGTTAAGAGTATGTAGGAAAGAGGGAAATTAATTCCCATAAAAGTAGCTTAGACAAGGAAGTGTGATTTTCCACCGTGTTGTTTAATATATTTATAGATGGTGTTGTAAGAGAAGTAAATGCGAGGTCTTTGGACAGAGGCGTGGAGTTAAAAGAAAAAGAATCACACAAAGTGGAGTTGTCACAGTTGCTCATTGCTGATGACACTGGGGGGGGGGGGGGGTGCTCTTTGGGAGATTCTGAGAGAAGTTGCAGATATTTGTGGATGAATTTTGGTAGGGTGTGCAAAAGAAGAAAATTAAAAGTGCATACAGGAAAGAGTAAGGTTAAGAGGATACAAAAAGATTAGGTTGATGAAAGATTGATATCAGACAGAGGGAGAGAGTATGGAGGAGGTGAATGTATTCAGATATTTGGGCGTGGACATGTCAGCGGATGGGTCTAAGAAAGATGAGGTGAATCATAGAATTTTGATGAGGGAAAAGGGTTAGTGGTGCACTTAGTGAGTCCTGTGGAGACAAAGAACTTTGTCCTTGGAGGCAACGAGGGGAATGTAAGAGTATAGTTTTAACGAACGCACTTATATGGGTGTAAGCATGGTGATGAATGTTCAGCAAGGAGAAGGGATGCGGGCAGGAGGCATGGAGATGTCAGTCCTGAGGGCAATGTGTGTGGATGTGAATATTAATTGCTGAATTCATAGTTTAGGAAGTTAGGATAAGGTGCGGATTACCAAAACTGTTGTCCAGAGGGCTGAAGAAGGGTTGTTCGGTGGTTCGGACATGTAAGAGAGAATGGAGCGAAACAGAGTGACTTCAAGAGTGTATATTCTGTAGTGGAAGGAAGGCGGGGTTGGGTTGGCCCTAGTAAAGGGAGGAGGGGTAAGGAGGTTTTGTGTCCGAAGGGGCTTGGACATCCAGCAGGCATGCGTGAGCGTGTTGAATAGGAGTGAATGGAGACAAATGGTATTTAAATACTTGACCGAGCTCTTGTGGAGAGTGAGCAAAGTAACAATTAGGAAGAGGTTCAGTAAACCGCAGGCCGACTTGAGTCCTGGAGATGGGAAGTACAGTGCCTGCACTCTGAATGAGGTGGTTAAAGTTGGCAGTATAAAAAATGTAGTGTAAAGACCCTCTGGGCCAAACAGTAATGGTGTGAATGATGGTGAAAATTTTCTTTTTTCGGCCAACCCTGCCTTGGTGGTAATTCGTCCAGTGTGAAAATAAAAATAAAAAAAAATAAACAAGTTAAGAAAGCCTAGGAATGAATAGATTTGTCAGTTTAAAAACAAGTAGGTGAATGACTAATAGGAGCTGGAGGTATTGGGTAGATGGCGGGAATATTTTTAGGAACCTTTAAATGTCGATGAAGCAAGGAGGTGTAATTCAAGCACTGGCCCAGGATATATAATATATTATCAGGAGTGAAGAGAGCAGGATTAAGTTGTGTGTGTGGGGGGGGGGTCAAGAGCATTATATAGAAAGAAAGTGATAAGCAACAGTGCTGGTGTTAGTCGATACTGCGTGAAGAGTGAAAGTGATGCTGTGGCCCTACTGGCTGAGGTGGATACTAGAGGGTTCTGGTACAAGTCGATGGTTTGTACTGGAGTGTGCAAAATTCTGAAATGGATTCTGTTCTAATTTAACCCTGCAGTATATAATACAACTGACAGTAAAGGCAACAGCTGCTCTATACACCAATCCAGGGTCCCTTCAGTGAAAAAGCCCTAACTTTAAGTCATTCAGGTGATCATCAAGTCAGTAAAATCCAGTCAAGTCAGTCCAGTCAGACAGTCAGTCAAGAGTCAGTTAGTCAATTCAGTCATCAAGTCAGTAAGTCATATCAATAAGACAGTCATATCAGTAAGACAGCAACACTGGTATGCCTATCAGGTGTCATGATTGCTTGAGATACAAGATATGGTAAATACAACCCAAAACTCATTTCACACAACTATCAGCAGCTTGTAGAGAGAATGACAGAACACGTAGTCACAAAGCTGGAATGGATGTCGGAGTGTCGGGATGGCAAGGGGATGACGGAATCTCCCCGGCTGACCCCAACAAGGCAGCTGCTTGAGTAGGGAATACCACCACCATTTGTCCACAAATGACATAGTTTATTCATTCTAGAGTATATATCAGGTTTCTATATTATTTATATTTGTGTATTATGTCACATTAATAAACGTGATAGATAAATAAGCGTAAGTTGATAAGTAGCATCATATTGAAGTACGTATTTTGCTTCTGCCTCCCAAAGCAGTAATTCTGCTGAACAGATTAAGGAATTCAATTAATTTAAATGAGGAAAATTGACTCAGCATACGATATCGGGATACGAGCAAGGTCACGGAACGGATTAAAACTCGGAGGCCAGGATCCACTGTAGTTAACTTTAAATAACCCAAGACAAACCATACAACTGTCTCTGCAAACCTCTCTGAGATCATGGAAACCAAGAAGAACCATTAGTAACTAATTTAAAAAAAGGGAATAAACAATTTACTGGCAGTACAAACATATTTTTTTAATCAAATCTCACCTTAGAATCATCAATTTTTCAGTCTTTTTTGCTCATAATGACGAGGTAGAGGCATGAGAAGTTTGCGCATCAGTGACATCAACTTTTACCACTCATCTTCATTACTCTTCTTGCAAAAACAATATGTTAAATAAAAAAAAAGAACCAATTAAAGAGTAAAAATATTTACTGAATCCTAGCAACAGGCATTAAATGTGAATACCACAAATCACTAGCAACTCACAAATTTGAGATCAAGACATGAGACAATGTACAGGAAGGGTCAGAGAAAGAAAATTTACTTTATGTTCAAAGACTATAAAAAATAGCAACTAAAAATACTCCAGAACAACTTTTTGCATAAGTGCATATTAAGTCCCATTTAGCAGTTGCATAAAGATAAATATTTAAAAGAAACAAAAATCAATGAAAGCCAAGTTAACACAATGCAATAAAGCAATAACCATATACCAGACTATTTTTATGAAACAATGAAATGCCACATCACACATAAGCTTTGAAGACAGATATAAATTAATACGGTAATAACTCTCATAATAATAATTTCGTCCAGGAAACAATCATACTTAATAAAATAATAATTTTAGCTAATGCAAGTCCAGTATCAAGATTGGAACACAGTTTTTTTTTTTTTTTTCAACAAGTCGGCCGCTCCCACTGAGGCAGGGTACCCAAAAAGAAAATAAAATCCCCAAAAAGAAAATACTTTCATCATCATACAACACTTTCACCTCACATCACGCATAACACTGTTTTTGCAGAGGTGCTCATAACCAACAGTTTTAGAGTTAAGAAGCATATACGTATAAAGATACACAACATATCCCTCCAAACTGCTAAAAACGCCAAAACCCTCCTTTTAAGTGCAGCATTGTACTTCCCATTTCCAGGACACAAGTCCGGCTATGATAAAATAACACCGGTTTCCCGAATCCCTTCATACTAATATTACCCTGCTCCCATTTCCAACAGATCCGTCCAAATCCCAAATACCCAATCGACTCCCATTCACTCCATCAAACACTCTCATTGCACACCTGCTGTAAGTCCAAGCCCCCTCGCCCCCAAAACCTCCCTCACTCCCATCCTTCCAACCTTTCGAGAAACCCCTCCCCCGCCATCCTTCTCCAACAGATTTAAAATGCTCTCCATGTCATTCTAACTTTGATCCATTCACTCTAATGACCAAACCACCTCACCACCCCCCCTTCAGCCCCTGACTAAATACAATTATTAACTCCACACCTTCTCCTAATTTCCACACTCCGAATTTTCTGCATAAAATTAACACCACACATGCCCTTAGACAGGACATTTCCACTGCCTCCAAACCACCACCACGCTGCTGCGTTCACAACCAACTTCACACCCTATAATTGTTGGTACTACCAATACTTTCATAACATTCCCTCTATGCTCCATAGATAAAACGTATTTGACTCCACATATACCTCAACGCACCCACTCACCTTTTTTTTCTTCATCAATTCTATGATTACACCTCATCCTTCATAAATCATCCGCCGACACGTCAACGCCAAGTACAATCAGAAAACATATCACTTCTTCCCTACTCCTACTTCCCCAATTTGATAACCAGTTTTTCTATTATCAAAATCCCCCCCCATTTTATACCCTCTTCACCTACTCATTTCTATTTCACTTCAACTTTTCTACTCTTTACACTCGCACCCCCCCCCCCCAAAACTCATCCCACTAACTTTGCAATTTTTTCTTAGAATCTCCATAAGCACAGTAATTCACAGCAAAAAGAACCTGTGGCAATTTCCCATTTTGTATTTGATTCCCCATAATTTAATCCCAACCCCTGCTCCCGAACAACCCTAGCACTTAC